CTCCAACGGCTCGTGGAGCTGACGGCCACCAGGATGACCCTGGTGAGGAATCTGCGTGTCCAGTATCGCCTTATCCGAAAGCTCGGCTCGGGCTCCTACGGCCGAGTGCTCCTTGCCCGGCCTCGCCAAGGGGGTGAGTTTGGCCACCAAAGGGTGGACACCAGGACTTCCCCAGAGTAGGGTTCTCAGAAGCCACCAAGAGAGAGAGCATCCCAGGAGGAGCTGATGGGGACTCTTCTCAGTGGGGGTTCTGTGAATGTTTAGAGCTCTGTGATCTGAGAATCAGGGCCCACTCAGAGAGGGTAAGAGACTTACTTGCCTGAGGTCACAAAAGGCAGAAGCACAACTTGGATTGGAACCCAAGTCACCACAACCCCTACTTTATGCAAGAGGAAACTGAGGCCCAGAGAGGTTAAGGCAGTTGTTCAAGGCCACTCAGCAGTCTGAGGCAAAGCAGAAAGAGGGAAGGTCTCCTACAACCCCACTCCACAGATGGAGAAACTGGAAGCACAGAGGTCAGACACCATGCTTTGCCCCTCCGGTTTTACCCGAGACATCTGAGGCTCAGAGAGGTTAAGTGGCTTGCCTAAGGCCCCACAGCAAGATCAAAGCACCCTGAGTTCCCTTCTGCATCCATCTCCCTGGCAGGTCCAGCTGTGGCTCTGAAGGTCCTACGTCAGGACTCGGTCCTGAGAACCACCTTCCTGCGAGAGTTCTGTGTGGGCCGCTGTGTCTCATCACATCCAGGCCTGCTCCAGACCCTGGCGGGACCCCTGCAGACCCCCCGACATTTCGCCTTCGCCCAGGACTATGCACCCTGTGGGGATCTCAGTGGGATGCTGCAGGAACGGGTGAGGCAGGCTGGGACAAAACTTGGGACTGCTTATCCCAGATCCAACTCTGTCCCAAACCCCATTTCTACCTCCAACCCTGACCCCCAGATCAGTGCCCAACCTAGGTCCGCCCTGAGCCCCCACACAATCTCCTTATTTCTCATCCTCAATGCACTCCATGTCTGACCCTGAGCCTATGCCATCCAACCACCCAAATGAACTTGGATGCACAGGGAGTTGGGGTTGGGATGGAGGGTGGGTCAGGTCTGATGAAGGTGGTGAGGAGGAGACAGAGTTGGGATTCTGGCGAGCAATGGAATTGGGGTGTGGGTGTGAGTGGACTGGGTGGGTTACTTTAGGGCTGATTGTAGATTGGTGATGGGTGTGGAAAAGAGCATGATGGGGTTGCAGAGTGAGGCAGAGATGGCTGAGAATATGGACACTCGTAGATTGACTTGGAGATGGGCTGTAATGAGGTTCCCTTTAAAAAGGATACCAGGGGCCAGCCGAGTGGCTCATATGGTTAAGAGCTTGCTCAAGAGTGTGAGCTCTGAGTAACAGGGTCGCTGGTTTGATTCCCGGCCCAAGCTGAGCTGCCAACAAGTGGCAGGATGGCTCGGATAAAAAAATTAAAAAATAAATTAAAAGTGATACCAGGTCAGACTGAATCCATGAGATTCTAGGAGGATTTGAGTTTGAAGATCAGGGTGAGGCCATCCTTGGGGCTAGGCTTTGGATTTGAGATAGGGTTGGGGATAAATGAAAGGAAGGAAGGAAGGAAGGAAGGAAGGAAGGAAGGAAGGAAGGAAGGAAGGAAGGAAGGAAAAATGATGGAAGGATGGAAGGAAGGAAAAGAGGATGATGAATGGGAAGAAGGTAGGATGAAAGGAAGGAAGGACAGAAGGATGGATGGATGGATGGATGGATGGATGGATGGATGAAATCAAGGAGGGGGAAATGGATGGATTTGGGATAGTACATAATTGAATAAATTATTGGGTTGCTAACTGGCTGGTGAAAGGAATGTTGAGTGGAAACACTGTAAAGTAGGCTGTTGGGTGGATGACTGCTTGATGGACAGGTTGCTGGCTGGCTGCCTGGCTAGCTGGAAGGACAGACCTATCAATCTCCTGGTGAAGTAAACTGCAAAAGTTACCACAAGGTCTGACTTAGAGATGGGATGAGATCTAAATTAGTCTGGGACTAAGACTAGGATTAAGCATGGGTTTTGGGCTCTCGTTGGAGCAGGTCCAAGTTTAGAGGCGATAAATAAGAAATGTAAGGAGTGGTCTTGAATAGTAGGGTTAGGACAAAGTTTGATGGAAACTAAAAGAGCTTCTGGTTAGATTTGGGGTCCCACTGAGGAGAACGTTGGGGGATTGATCTGGGGATATACGTGGTTTGGGGACATTGTGGAGAAGGTACTGGGGGGGGACATTGAAGGGACATTAGAGGTAGTCACTGGTCTGGGGTTCTGGATTCTTGAACCCCAAGAAGCAAAATAAAGAAGGAACCCCTGACAAGGCCCCCTGACCTTCACCTTCTCTCCTGAACCCCAGGGCCTCCCTGAACTGCTGGTTAAGCGGGTGCTGGCCCAGCTAGCTGGAGCCCTGGACTTCCTTCACAGCCGGGGGCTGGTCCATGCAGATGTGAAGCCAGACAATGTGCTGGTCTTCGATACTGCCTGCAGCCGTGTGGCCCTAGGAGACCTGGGTCTGACCCGGCCCGAGGGCAGTCCAACTCCTGCCCCCCCAGGGCCACTGCCTTCTGTCCCTCCTGAGCTCTGTCTCCTGCTGCCACCTGATACCCTGCCCCTGCGACCATCCTTGGACTCCTGGGGCCTGGGTGTGCTTCTCTTCTGTGCTGCCATGGCCTGTTTCCCCTGGGATGTGGCCCTGGCCCCTGACCCTGAGTTCGAGGCCTTTGCTGGCTGGATGACCACCAAGCCCCAGCCACCTCAACCACCACCCCCTTGGGACCATTTTGCACCCCCAGCTCTGGCATTGCTGCAAGGGCTTCTAGACCTGGATCCAGAGATGAGAAGCCCCCCACTGGCTGTCCTGGACTTTCTGGGGGATGACTGGGGGTTGGAGGGGAACAGAGGGGTACCTGAGGACTTGGGGGGTATGTCCAGTGAGGATGAGGAAGAGGAAGAGAGGGGATCAAGCCTGGAAGAGTGGACAGAGGAGGAGGAGGAGGATGACAAAGACAGTGGGAAGATGGGGACAGATGGGGGAACTCCCTGACCAGGTGACTCAGACAGGTGGCCAGAGCCTGGGCCAAAGGCCCCTCCCCCAGCCACCACGGCCACCTGGATGGAGAGACAGCTGCTCCCAGGGACAACAGAGACGGAACACATTGCATCTCTCCCTACTAAAGGCCAGATTTGGTTGCACAATTCCCCTCCCAACTGAGGACCTGCGAGCAGGACCCTCGTCCCCTCCTCCCTCAAACCTAGGAGCTTAGGCCCCTAGCACCTCCTCCCTCAGATCAAGTGGTCCAGGACTTCCCTCCCCTCCTTCTTCAAGGAACCTTCCTTTTCTCCTGTCCTGAATGTGTCTGCTTGCGGGAAGGTGCTGTTTCCCCACCAGACACTTTTCTGCCTTGTGGGGACATGTTGGATAAGGGGACATGGAGTTCTGATGAGGTCACTCCTCTCCTCTAAGACCTTGGGTGACTCCCACTGTCCATGGCACCAAATCTGGGCTTTCATGATCTGACACCATGGAAACCTCACCCTCTGCCTTTTCCATGTCCCTGGGCTCTGGGTGACACTGAGGGAGCCACTCATCCTTCCTAGACCTAAATCTGCACGCACACGCAGGCACACGCACTTTCCTGCCAGCATACGTTTGCACATCCTCTGTCCCCCAGAAGGCCCTCCCTCTGCCCAGCTCAGTACCTCCAGAGGTGGCCCTGCTCTGCCTGCCCCACCCCGCCTGGAACTTTTATCCGACTGATCATGTCTCTATCTTCTTCGGGCTACCTCTCAGGAACTCCAGGACAGATTTGCTATATCTTTTCAGCTTCTGCCCCCATGGGCAAGCACCTTATACCTGCCCAGACAGCACAGAGCACGTGATGGGTGATCAGCTGGCCCCAACGACTCTCAGACGGCCTGTGCTCAGGGACACACAGGTTTGCTTGAATCTCATTTCCCCGGGCAGCATCCAACACGGCACTCCTGCCTCCCGTTGGTGACACCCCACCAACAAGCCCAGGGCCGCATGACATGAGTCCCAGCGCCCACAGGGTCCAGCTCAGGAACTGTGCTCCATCCTGGGACTCTGTCCTGCATGATTTCTAGATATTTTAAAAAGTAGTTTCACTAAATGCAGCGTGGTGTCCTGGGTTGAACCCTGGGACAGAAAAAGATTGTTGGTGGCAGCACTGGTGAAATGGAAAGTCTAAGGTTTGATAGTGAATTTCTGAGCTTGGACAAAGGCACGCTGGCTGTGAGATATCACCTGGTGGAAACCTGGGTGAGGGAACACGGGAGCTCTCAGCATACAATCTTTGCAACTGTTCTGTAAATCTAAAATTTTTCCAAAATAAAAGTTGATTTTAAAAGAATTCAGTGAGTTCACATCTGCCATCTCACTATAAACCTGAGGGGTGGGTTCGGCCCTCCAGACCCACAGTCTCCTCCCTCAGACCGGGGGTCCCTGCCTAACTTCTGCCCCACTTCCAAGTCTGCAGACTCAGAACACAGACCCCCGCCCTTCTCTCTCTCCCCTCAGGCCCCTCTTTTCCCAGTTGCTCCACCACCTGCTTCCCCTCAGCCCCAAGTCTGAGATCATCTCTCACTGCATCGTTCTGGAATCTCGTTTTCTCATCCTTGCCCCAACAGGACCCCAGTGTCTCATCCCCTGGACACCCCTCACCGAACACTTGTGTCTGACCTGTCAATGGAGCATTGATGGGGCAGCTGGGTGGGGGTCAAGGCCGGGGAGCAAAAGAGAAATGATTTCCTCCTCTACAGGGGGCCTGGACTCCTTAGTATGAGGGAGGAGGGACTGGGTTTCCTGGGCCTGAGGGAGGAGTCACTGGGCTCCCCGGGTCTGGGACATTTGTCTGGTCACAGCCAATTCTGGGAGTCAACACACGATGTCGCTCCATCCCTAGTGGAGTGGAGGGGGCGGGGTCTTGCTCCTGGGCAGGCCTCTGCTGGCATGGGCTCTAAGTGCCGGGCACTGACCACAGCGGGCAGTCGAAGGGTCAGGCAAGCCTTGGAGAAGGTAAGGTCTGGAGGTCGGAGCCCAGGTCAGGAAGAGGTAAGAGTTAATGGGTCTGAGGTGGGCGGCAACTGGGAGTGCAGCTGGGCAGATGGCCAGAGCCCTGGGTCTCTCAGGGGAGCAGAAGATAGACCTGAAGGCTGTAGAGTGGTCGAGTGTTAGGGACACAGAGTCTGGGGGTCCCAAGATGTGTAGATTTATAAGGTTGCAAGAGAAGAGGAGTCTGGGGGCCCCAACTCCTGGGTCTGAGGTAGGAGGGGCTGGGGGTTCACTGGCCCTTCCCATTGTGACTCGGTCTCCCTCTTCATTAGAGGCATCTGAGGATTGGGAAACCAGTTGCACATTGGGATGAGGTCAAGCTTGAGGTCACAGATGTCCCTCACCCCCACCCTCACATCCATGCGCCAGCCGAAGGCCCAAGGGTGAAAGATGAACCCGATAACTCGAGACACCCCCATCTTGTTTCCAAAGCAAACAGACTTAGGCCCTGGGGCGGGGGAGTGGGGTGGGGATGAGTAGCCTCTGTCTCCTAAGCACAAACAGGTGCTCTCTACCCCCCGGGGCCGGGGAGGGCAGGGCTTCACACAGCAGGACCTGGGGGATATCTGGGTTCCAGAAGGGAGGAAGCACTTGGGAGCAGTCCCCAAGCTCTTCAAAGGCCAGGGGTCCAAATCTTACAGCCCCATCGCCTCCTCCCTCAGACCCAGGAGTCCTGGCCCCTAGCCCTCTTCCTTAGGGCCGCAGATCTGGTGGGCCCAGGCTCTGGGTCATCCTCTGTCCTCGGCCTTGCAGACATGCCAGGCAAACAGTCAGATGAGGAACAGGTGGAGGGGGCTGCTGAGAACGGGTCTGCTGAGAACGGAGCTGATGAGGACCTAGGGGGCCTCACGTTGGAGGAGCTGCAGCAGGGCCAGGAGGCAGCCCTTGCACTGGAGGACATGATGGCCCTGAGTGCCCAGACCCTGGTCCGAGCCGAGGTGGATGAGCTCTACCAGCAAGTGCGTCCCTTGGGCCAGGGCCGCTTCGGCCGGGTCCTGCTGGTCACCCACCGTCAGAAAGGTAGCGGGGCCTGGGGACATCAGCAGGGGTGCAGGGGGGCTGTGGCATGGGCCAGGCTGGGAGCCTGGAGACCTGACAAGTCTTGCCTCTGCCCTTCAGGCTGTGTATCCTTGGGCACTCCCCACCGTTCTGTGAGCCTCAGTCTCCTTTGAAAACATGGTGACGATTCTTTCTCTGTGGTTCTCTGAGCAAATGTCCATGGTTGTAGTTTCCAGGCACAACGGGGAACAGAGAGGTCTCCCCTCCATGGCCCTCATATGTGGCAGGCTTAGTGGTCACCATGGGGTTGGTTTGGAGCCAGGCTGACTGCACAGTGCACAGTGGGTGTGCAGGACGCACACCATAGCCCCAATCTGATGTCTTTCTAGCAAATGTGCACACATCCTGTGTCTTTCCTACAAAACAGGAATATTGTGGCTAGAACTTGGAGTCACTGTCAGTCAAGACTCACCTTCCGAGTTTCCCTGGGGGCTCAGCCTATTCAATGGTGCTGGGGACACAGGGAGGAGTGGAAGTCAGCCCTGACTTCAAGGAGCTGCTCCCGGCATGAAAGAGGACAGTGTGTTAGTCAGCTGGGGCCGGCATAAGAAGGTCCCATAGAAGGGGCAGCTTAAACAACACAAATCTGTTCTCTCACAGTCCTGGCCCCTGGAAGTCCAAGATCAAGGTGTCTATCAGAAGAGTCATTGTCTCCTGAGGCCTCACTCCTTGGCGCGTAGACGGCTGTCTTGTCCATGTCCTCACAGGGTCCTCCCTGTGTGCGGGTCTGTGTCCTGCTCTCTTCTCAGGATACCAGCCAGATTGGACTAGGGACCGCCCTCCTGATCCCATTTTACCTCTTTCAAGGCCGTATCTTCAAACATAGTCATATTCAGCGATATCGGGGGTGAGGAGTTCAACATATGAATTTGAGGGGACACGATTCAGCCAGAACAAAGACAAAGACAACCAAGGCCTGGGTCACCAGAGATCTTGGAGGCAGGAGCAATAACGGGGGACAGGGGCTTATAAAGGAGGCCTCGTCAGCTGGTGCTTCATTCAACATACCTCTTGAGGCCCCTGGATGCCACCCCTGAGCTGGGCAGACACCACGAAGGTGTCTCTGTCCTCTAGATGCACAGATGGACAGAGATCACTAGAACAGAAGGTGGCATGTGTCATGCTGGGTCATGTAGATGCTACCAGCTGCTGCATCCAGCTGGGGAGTGAGTGGAAGGAGATGGTCAGCATTTTAGGTGTGGGGATGACTGTCCTGCCTCACACATGGCCTCCTGAGGGGCGAGGTCTCACCTTGGCGGGTGGTGATTATAAAACTGAAGAGACCAGTGGTCCTGTCTCTGGGAGCTTACATCCTTGCAAGTTATTATTAGGATGGCATTCCTAATAATTCCTCATGGCATCTAATACCCAGTGCAGTGCACATTTTCCCCAATGGCCTCAGATGCAGCTTTTGGGCGTGGGTTTGCTGGACCGAGGGGCCACACTAGGTCACTGGGGGCTGAGTTCAGCTTTCATGGTATCATCTGCTTGAAGAGAGCAGAGCAGGGACTCACTCAGTGCCATTATCGTTAGCTGTTATTGTTGCTACCAACGGTGTGTTGTGGTGACCATGTTGTGCTTAGGATGGGCTTAATTAATAAGGAAGCAGGAGCCCGAGGGGGTGGACGTGGCATATGGGAAAGAGTACGAGCTGGGAGCCAGCAAAGGTGACCCCAGACTCTTGCTCCCATGCCTGTCCCTGCCGCCCCCAGGCACACTCCTGGCACTAAAGCAGCTCCCAAAGGCCTCCACTTCCCTCCGTGGCTTCCTGTATGAGTTCTGCGTGGGCCTCTCGCTGGGTGCGCACGAGGCTGTGGTGGCAGCCTACGGCATTGGCATCGAGTCTGCCGACTCCTACAGCTTCCTGACAGAGCCTGTCCTGCATGGTGACCTTATCGCCTTCATCCAACCGAAGGTGGGTAAACAGCTCCCCGCTGGGTCTTGCAGGAATGTCCCTGAACAGCCTGGGCCTCAGAGGTCACGCTCACTGTGCCAGGCCTCACCAGGCTTCACACGTCACCCCCAGGGTCCCTTCATTGGGCCCACAGGTCTCATGGGATTGCTAGTCCTCTGTCAAATTCACTTACACCACAGAGCCAACACTACACCTTCTGAGATTTGCCAGCCCTCATGAGGTCACACTGGGCCTCTCCAGGCCTCACCGGGGCCAACCTTTTGAGGCCCTTCACTCCCCTGGACCTGTTCCCTGGGTGTGGAGCAGCTGTATCACCTGAGGCTTCTTGGCTGGGGGCAGTGGGCCCTGACACGTCTCCCCCTCAGGTGGGCCTCCCGCAGTCAGCAGCTCAGCGCTGTGCAGCCCAGCTGGCCTCTGCCCTGGAGCACATTCACTCCCATGGCCTGGTGTACCGCGACCTCAAGCCTGAGAACGTGCTGGTGTGTGATCCGGCCTACCGGCGGATCAAGCTGACCGACTTCGGCCACACACGGCCCCGCGGGACCCTGCTCCGCCTGACCGGGCCGCCCATCCCCTACACAGCCCCTGAGCTCTGTGCCCCGCCGCCCCTCCCTGAGGGCCTGCCCATCCAGCCTGCCCTGGATGCGTGGGCACTGGGGGTCCTGCTGTTCTGCCTTCTCACGGGTTATTTCCCTTGGGACCAGCCCCTGGCTGACACCGACCCCTTCTACGAGGACTTCCTCATCTGGCAGGGCTCCGGCCAGCCCCAGGACCGGCCTCAGCCCTGGGTTGGCCTGACGCCAGTGGCAGACGCTCTCCTGTGGGGGCTGCTGGACCCCCAGCCCCGAAGGAGGAGCCCCGTGAGCTCTATCCAGGGCTACCTGGGGCAACCCTGGAGGCAGCGGGAGGGGGAGGTTGAAGAGGAGGACTAGGAGGCTGGAGAATGAGAAGGGCCTGGGCATAGGGAGACTCTGAAAGAATCCGGGTCATACATCCCGATGTCTGGGTGTTCATGTGGTGGCTTTTGTCTTCTCTTTTGTCTGTTTTCATCTGTCTCATTACTTTCCTCTTTCTGTCTTCCTTATCTCCCTCCCTTGCCCTGTGGGGTCTCTGGGGCTGCTATGTTTCTACCCACACCTGTCTCCATCTTCCCCAGGACCTTTGCACTTGCTGTCCCCACCCTCTCTGTGAACCTGACATGCTTACAGCTCACCCCTCCGAAGGCCTGGCACCCCCACCCCGGCTCTCCACTGTGACACTCATAGCTGCACGATGTACTCACAGTGTTTGTTCTGAGTGCCCAGCTGGAGTGGGAGCCCCTGGACTGAAGGGGTCTGGCCTGTCCTGCTCTCTGATGCATCCTGCGCAGCTGGGGCAATCCTGGCCATGGCAGGTGGGCAGTAAAGGCTGTTTCATAACAGACCACTGTGGCTTTGCACTGCCCCCTCCACAGCCCTGTCCTCCTCCCCTCATCTCTCTCTCCTCTCTCCCTGGGTTCCACTCACCCCCACATGCTGGGCAATGCCCTCGTGATAAAGTGTTCTCTTTCCTCTCACCCCAATCGCTCCCTGCAAATAAAGTCCACCTGGCACTTAGGTCTCCGTCATGCTGTTGGTCTGTCAGCTTGGGAAAGGGAAGGATGGTGGGTGTGCGTGTGCACTGGACAGCATGCTGTGCAGGAGGGAGACAGAAAGAGGGAGACAGAGAGGGAGAGACACAGAGATGGAGAGACGGAGAGAGACAGAGCAAGGGAGAGAGACTGAGAGGGAGAGAGGGAAGAAGGGAGAGAGAGAGAAAGAGGGAGAAAGACAGAGACAGAGAAAGGGAGAGAGACAGAGACAGAAAGAATGGCAGAAAACTGTCCCACAGTGTGGCTGGGTGAGAGGCTGGCTCTGGGTGTGCGTTTGTGGGTTTGTGGGTATGCCTGGGAGAAAGTGTAGCTGCTTATGTTGGGATTATCTGGGCCTATTTCTGCACGTCCGTGTGTGTGAGCAGGAGAGGTATTAAAGAGAGTATGAAAGTGGCTGGCTGTTTGTGGACAGGGAGCTAGACTGGAGCATGTATTTCTGTGTATTTGCGTGTCCAAGAGCCTCTGAGCCTGTGTGTGTGCAAGTCATGACATGAACGTGTGTGTCCTCGAGGGGACAGAATGGAAGCTTGAGTGCATCTCATTCTGTGTGGACATTGGATCCGTGTCTGTGTGTCCACAAGGATTTGAGTGTGCATGTGTGTGTGTGTAGCAAGGGGAGAAAAGTCACATGGGCACGCGCCACTGCCAGTCACAAGCTGGGCCTCTGCCCCTTCACACCTTCCCCTTCTCAGCCCAGCCCCTTCTTGGCAGCTGACCTGTTTGCAAACACTCCGTCTTCCTCTCTGTGCCCTCCTTGGCTGCCAGCCCAGTACAAGGCTACAACTAGAGCTGGATCATATGTCTCTGTCCCTGGCCCCTGCACACACACCCCAGTGCCCCTGCTGTGGCTGCCTTGGTGTTGTAGGGTGTGTGTGTGTGACAGCATGTGTGGAGTGACCGCAAGGGTCCTCCGAATCTACATTCAATCCAGAGAACTGGGGACTCGGGCCCCTGTCCTGGGCAATCCAGGTGAGCTTCCTGGAGTAGGGGGTCACTGGAGGGTGCATTGTGGGGGAACATGATCAGGACCTCTTACTGCCTTGTTCATGAATCTGAAATAGCCCAAGCAATTAGGCCAAGAATGTGTCCCAGAAAATCTGGAGGCGCCGCTGGGCAAGGGCAAGAGGGGAGTGGAGAAGAGCAGGGGTGGTGGTGGCTGTAGATAGTGTTAATTGGTGGCAGCAGCTGAGGATTAACTGGGAGGTGACAATGACCCAGTGATGGCCCCCAGTGGCAGGGGAGGAGGACTGAAAGTCCCAGGAAGTCCCTGGAAGGGGCGGGACAATGCTGATTGAATATTAATTGATACCTAATAATAATGGTGACATTTAATGCTAACGAAGCAGCTCTTCCTCAAGCAGCCCCCTGGAGGGTGGGTGGCATCTGCTTGGTCCCTCAGAGCCACCCCAGGTCACGGGTCACGGGTGGGCAGTGACAGTTGACCCAGGGTGTCAGCCTGCTCTCATGGCAAGTCAAGGAAGAGGCAGCACTCGAACCCGGACTGGCTCCTGTCCAGGGCCCATGCTCTTAAACCACAGGGGTGTTTTGCTGCCATCAGTGGGTGCCAGGGACTGGGGGTGTGAGTGTGTGAGGGTGTGTTACCATAGGTGTGAGTGTGTCCGTGTATGTGTGTGACAGTGTGACTCAGGTGTAAGAGTACGACTGTGTGAGCATGAGTGTGAGTGTGAGTGTGGGACTGTGACTGAGAGAGTAAGAGTGAGCATGAATGTGTGTAAGAGTATGAGTATGAGAGTGTATAACTATGAGCATGAATGTGTGGGTGCATGTGAGAATGTTACCACGTGTGTAATAGTGTCAGTGCGAGTGTATGAATGGGAGAGTGTGAATATGGAGTGTGAGTATGCATTGTGAGTGTGAAGATGTGAGAGTATGTGAATGTGGGTATGTGATGGAAGTAAGTTTGAGGCAGTGTGTGCGTATATATAGGGGTGACTGTGAGTGTAGGCGAGCAAGTTGTGTGAGCATGTGTCTGTGTGTTGGTGAGGTGGTCATGGCTTCCTTGGAGGAGACTAGAGTTGGGGCATCTAAATGAAGACAGCAAAGGAGGCTGAAAAAGCCTTCAGATTCACCAAATGACCATAATCAAAAGACAGACCATGACGTGTGGTGGTGAGGACATGGACAAGTTGGAACCCTGGTGCGTTACAGCCACTGGGGAGGACAGTCTGCAGTTTCACTACGTGTTAAACATAGAATTACATGTGGCCTTGCAATTCTTCTCCTAGGTATCTACCCACAGGAAATGAAAACATGCATATACACACACATTTGTAGCAACATCATTCATAATAGCTAAAACATGGAATCAACCCAAATGTCCATCAACAGGCTAATAGATAAATGAAATGTGGTCCGTCCATACAATGGAATATTACTCACCCATAAAAAAGAAGAAAGCACTGACGCATCCTGCATCATGAACGAAACTCGAAAACATCTCAAAGGGAAGGAAGCCCATCACAGAAGCTGATCTGTAGCAGGAATCCATTTATAGGAAATGTCCAGAATAGGCAAATCCATAGAGACAAATTAGTAATTGTCAGGGGTGGAGCCGTGGGGGGGGGAGTGGGGATGACTGCTAATGAGTACAGGTTTCCTTTTGGGGGGCGGTGAAGGTGATAGAAAAGTTCTAAAATTAGATTATGGTGAGTGTTGCACAATTCTTTAAGAACCATTGAATTGTACGTGTAAAAAGGGTGAATCTTATGGCATGCAAATTTCACTTCAATGAGGCTGCTAAAAAACAGGTGTTTCCAAATCTCTCGTGCTATGACTTTGATCAGGTCTCTTTTCTTCACTGAACCTCTGAATTGCCATTAAAAAGAAAAGAAAAAAAGATGCCTGCCTTCCTAACAGCTCTGAATTCGGGACCTATTCACCATGAACTAACTCCTTCAACCCAGGACCCATTCACCTGGGCCAGTGATTCCTGGGAATTCTGGGCTCCCCACAGCTGGGGAACCCCACACTTGCTGGCAGGACCAGTCGCAAAATTTGTGGGTGTCCATTGTTAAAAAACAACAGGAAAAACGTTTTCTCCTTCTCCTCATAGTGCCTGCCTGAGGGCAGAAGGCTAGGAATCTCGCCACCAGAACCCACCAGAAAGCTGCGCTTTACATGAGCCCAGGCTCCAGGCTCCCATCACACATTTCACTGGCCGTTGACTTCACTTACAAAACACAAAATCAAAAATCCTGAAGAACATCTGGGCAGCTACTGTAAAGTATTAAATCTGCAAAAGCACCCAGCTCACAGCCTGCTTGCGGAAAAGCCTTTACCAAGTACCCAGAAGGGCAGCCAGCCTTGCAAGGCCTCTGTAAACACTATCTTTTTTGGTCATTCATTTTCAGGTCGGTCTAGTACACAGCCTTGCAAGTGACATGAGGAGCATTTCTCAGACCTGACTAGCAGCCCATGAATTGCCCCCCGCCCCATCTTGTTCAAAGGCAGAACCTGATCCAGTAGGTCTGGGATGACACCTGAAATTCTGCTTTTCATACCAACTCCTGGGTGAGGCCCATGCTTCTCTGGTCCCTGGGCGATGCTTCAGGTGCAAGGAACTGTGAGAATACAGTTTCAGAGTACTGATCTCACATCTTAGCTAAACTCTTAGTAACACAAACCATTGGTCCACTCAATTCCTCAGGGTTTTCTATGGCCTGTGGGAAATTACAGATCTGTGTCTTCCTTTCCACCCTTAATCTGATTAAGGAAGTCCCCTCTGCTCCTACTTTGCTAAGCATGTGTGTGTGTGTGTGTGTGTGCGTGTGTGTGTGTGTGTGTGTGTGTGTGTGTAAACTGAATTTTTTTCTGCATCAGTTGAGCTTGCTAGGCCTCTGAAGCTACTGTTATCAGCTTGTTGCAAGCTGGCAGGCACTGGATCGGACTCAGCTGTCCCAGGGGAGGTGTCCAGGATCAGGGCCAACAGTATGTGGGGGGTGGCCACCCATCCTGGCCTTGGGCCCTGGGGCCAGATGTTTGGGCTTAGCTGCCTGGCCAAATAGGGATAGAGTGACCAGATAATTAAGTATCCGCTTCTTCAGGGCTGGTGGAAGGTGACAGGGGGTGGAGGGACCTTGGGCCAGAGTGCCTGACAACACCCCCAATCCTGGCTTGCAGAAAGGGGCCAGGGGCTGGGTCCTCTGGAATGACCCAGAGCTGGGGTTCACCTGCTCCCTTCTGGAAATGGGAAAGAAGTCTTTTTACTTCCAAGCTGCGGCATCATCCTCTGAGCCCCTGACTCCCCAGATGGCAAGAGGAATGCAGGCAGAAGCCGTTCCCTCAGTCCTCCCCACATCACCCATCAGCAGTTATTTAAGTCTTGGGCTTAATGAAGACTGGGGAACAGGGATTCTCTGCATACTCCTTTGCCTGTTAGTGGAGGCAGACAGTCCATCTATCAGGACCCCCAGACATTATCCCTCCCCCGACAGCAAGTAACTGGACCCTGCTGGCCTTTGCAGAACTGAGGGGGTGCCAGCTCCCTGACCTTCCAGGACCTGTGAGCCAGGCTGACTGGAGAAAGAAGGAAGAATGGTTTCCTGCCTGAGGCTGCAGGAGCCAGGATTGGAGTTGGGGGGGTCTTCCAAGACAGCCCCCAGTTTACAAGCTGAAGCCCAAAGGGGGGTAGGGGCCTTCCCAGATAGAGGCCATCACAGAAGTCCTAACCTGGAACCCCAAGCCAAAGTCAAAGCAGGGGAATCTGCATTGTGTTATTCTGGGTTTTAGTTCCTGGTCTGCTGTGTAGCCTGAGGCAAGAAGCTCGCCCTCTCTGAACCTCAGCGTTCTTCTGAAATGGGAATCAAGTCCCTCCCTCCAAAGGGCTGTGGTGAGAATGGGCAGTATTAAGAGCCTACAATGTGTCAGGCACAGAGAGCACAGCAGAGAGTGGTCGTGATCACGCTGGTTAACTAAGCACATGGTACATGCTGAG